GTGAAATAAAACTCATACTATGCCATCTTAATTAAACTAAAAGAAGTAATCCACACCTGTAGGCAAGAAGATTATCCCTTTTATTCTAATTAAGATGCAAAGTTGACCGAAGTAACTCAAAAATACAGTCTCATCATCAACTGAGCCGTTGCGGCTTCCTTTAGTTGAAAAGACATTTATCAACTCCGTCCTGAAACAATGCAAAAGTCACATGGATTAATTAACTGTAAGTGACAAAATTATGATAACCTGATTCAAGCGTCGAGTCCTGCCAACAAATGGCACTAATTCCTTCATGACTCCCTTTGACAATAAATTAATCTCAAGAAACTTGACAACATACTTGAAAGAGATTAATCACATATAGAACAAGTTTTATTCCACCACAAGAATGTCAATACTTATCATTACAGAGTCAATTGCTTGAAATAGAAATACTTTATGTAATGCAAAAGAACAATACATTCCTTTAATTTAAAAACTAAATTGCTCAAATGTTTTCTTAAGTCAAACAGGTTCCTTTTCTTTTGTACATTTCTTTCCGTAGTACAAGGCTCCTAAAACATTAGCATCAAAATTGTGCATTAGCCTTGTAAATACCAAATTAAATAAAGGAATTACCAAAATTCTTTCTTTCAAAAGAAACATCTCCAATACATGTCATACATTATCCTTGTATAAGTTTCTTTTCTTCTCCCCTTATGGCACATAAAAATTGACTAATCAAAATACTGTTTAAAATTCTTCAAGCATAGGAATAACCACAAACAATAATACATGTTTGAAAATTCATGCTTATTAGTTAAGCCACATACTTTGAATGAAATACATACCTCATGCCTTCATATGTTCAGTACTTCTTTATAAACATATATAATCACATGACCACCATAATTCTCATATAAGAATAAATAGAATACAAATGAGAAGTGTCACATAATTACTACAAACCTCATTCATCTGTATATTGTACTTGTTCTTGCCACCGAATGCTTTCTGTCACTCTCAGTCAATCCACAAGTTATGCATCAATTTCATAGTTAACTAGTCACGTATAATTGAATGACTATACTGAGATAGGAAAGCAAAATTGTAGACAAAACTAATTTGATTAGTCAAGCAAATTTCTTATGGAGTTAATATCATTATAAACCGTACTTGAATTAAATCTCCAATCATACTTAAGTACTAGCATACTGCATTACTAATCAACACATTTGTGTCTTTACATAAGATCATCTCAAGCTTAAAGCAATATAGGACAACCCAATCCCTTTAATAAAACACGGCATATGTCAATTTTGCTCCATGCTTGCATACTTAAAATTGAATCCATATTAGATATTTCCGACAGCAACCAATGACATGGCTATTTAATTCAGTCTATATATATTTCCTACACATAAGCATGTAATGCAAAAGGAAAACAGAACCTGCAATAATCCGTGAGGCATTCGAAGGGTCGTTAGTGTCCCCTTGTCGCCTGTCCACCCAGGACGCACCTCACACAGGTGTTCTCGCATGTGGCAGTAAAACCCCCTTAAACTTGCGGCTGGAGCTTTTGATTCCAGCAAGCTCGCTCTTATGTGGCACTAACAAAAATTAGCCGCGAACAAACAAGATAGATTTGACTTTTACATACTTCTTGGCATGTTTGCATATCCCATTTGCCGACACTTATGCAATTATTTCTTGTTAAATTGGAGTATCACCTCAAGCCATTTTGTAGAGAACAAATCAGTGAATGTGTAATAGAAATTTATGGCAACCAAAATATATCATAACGGTACCTTAATTTACTGGAGTAATAATTCAAATAAATTGCAAAACCTTAAATTTATCATTGCTCTTCCTGATCGAAAAGAAGTATATATTAACATATACCAGATTAAAAATTGATAATGTCAATTCTTAGTCAAACACATAAATCATGTGCCTATTTTTTATACCGTTGCCAAACATAAAATAATTGGATCCATATTCATGACATACTTAACTGAAACATGGTATTCAATGTATGTACATGCTCTACAATACTTAGCACATCACTCATGCAAGTACATATTATCTTATTACCAATTTAAGCTTTCAGGGATCAACCCAAATATATATCAGCCAAAATATCATATAAACCATCATGGAAATCAAAGTCAATGATACAAACCGTTTTGCTATGGTGGATGACTTCGTTCTTGCTAATTGGAGGGGCCTCTTCAGTAAGGTCAGAACAAATATAGCATGCTTACAAAAATTGAGATCATCAGTGGCACATGGTAAATCATTCCAACCAAAACATTAGCATGAAAATTGAAATAGAACGAAACTGTTATTCTTCTCAGTGCCTGGTTCGTGGTTTTATACTTGTGACTTCATGTGTGTTTCTAACGCAAGCTATTTTCAATGGCTTAATATGGCTGGTCAAAGGGAATCACTTTAAACTATATTTGAAATAGAAAAATCTCCCATGGTTTCCATTGTAAAATAGTTATGATACCATGATTTATATATAAGAATTGATACCACGATTTGCATTCGTGCCATAAAATTAGTAAAATTCTTGACTAAAACCGAATGGTTATATAACATATAAACAATCATCAATTGTACCGATTGAAACATGGTGGTGTTGCCAAGTATATGCAATCATAACTTGGATTAAAAACGCAACTCATAAAAATATTATATAGTCCAACCTAAAACCTAATAGGTTTTAATCATATAACCAATGGCTCTGATACCAACTGTTAGCCTTATTAGGTTATACAATTAAAACACAAACGAAGAGTGACTGACCTGATTCCAATGGTAGTTACCGAAGATGCAGTAGCCATGCAAGCAAGACGTGATCGATAAAACTCCAATCTTTATGTTTGCCGTGACAAACAGAAAACACCAACTCTTCTGTAAACTCCTAGCTTTATGACAATGCTCTATGGGAAGCCTTAGTTGTCGTGTCTAGGGTTAGCAGGGACCGGTGTTTATATATTAGCCAAAAAGTCTTAGATTCCATCCATAAGGGAAAGCTAAAACTCTCCTTTCTTGGCTCTCAAGTAAAATATCATAATCATATATTATTAAGGATTCCATCAATCCTATTTCCAATATAAGACACCTTATATAGAATTGATATCTTTAAGAGATCAAATCACAATTAACATTATTCTCCAATATTACATTCCTATTACATGTAGTAGACCACTTAAAGGTTGATTTATATTGGATAAATCCAACATGTAATAGTTGTCTTTTTCCTTTCAATCATCTCATAGGGTTGTTAGGTATGGCCTAAAGCATGGAGAGGGTTGCGTAGTTGATTGATCTCTCCTACTTTTTCCCTTCTAAATATCCTTGTTTCCTTGTAATCTTTCCTTACAACATCAACATACAACTTTTCATCAAAATTCATAATGGTTCTGTGAGGAGGCGGGAGCTCAAGAGAGTGATTGTAGAGGATTTGGAGAGGTTTGTGAGGAGGCGGGAGTTTTATATGAAGGTAGGGAAGGCTTGGAAAAGAGGCTACTTACGGTCCTCCTGGGGTTAATCAAGGGCATAGAGGTCAATGGTGATGGATCCGGAGCTCAAGAGAAGGATTTTAGAGGATTTTGATAGGTTTTGTGAGGAGGAAGGAGTTATTTAAAAAGGTGGGGAAAGCTTGTAAAAGAGGGTACTTGTTGCATGGCCCTCCTGGCACTGAAAATCGAGCTAATTGTCTCAAGTTTGATGTGTCTGATTTGAAGCTCACTAGTAATAACTTGCATGAACATGACCACCATAACTTGCAAGAGTGAAGTCTGTTGTGTCATTTAATCACCATATGACCACCATATGGGAGTCGTGAGTTCAATTCAACTGCTATTGATTTGGTTTGTAGTATGCTGAACATGGTTGAATTCCACGTTTACAGTTCTCATCCCTCATTCAGCAAAACTCTTCCTTTTTGGTGCTTTTAATCTCCTTATCACGTGGCTTTTTAGTGTTATTATCTTTTATTTATATTTTTCCCCCTTTGTTCTTTTTTCCCCTATTTTTCCTTGACTTACTTAAATACCCTTGGAGATGATGAATTGGTCTTTCACGTCAGTTGTTTTTATGTTGTATGGGCATTGTTATCCAATTACCTTGGTTAAGGGACACCAAAGTCCACAACATTTAGTAAAGACTAGCCTCTCCGTACGCGTTCACGCGCATGCGAGAGACATTTTTCATCATGGGCGTAGCGCACCCCTTAAAATGTGTTACTTTAGTTGTTTTCTTATTTGCCCATCCAAAGTTTTTTATTTTGAATGACTAACACTTATTTTCCACCAAATTTGTGAGAGGCCAACACTAATATTTCCTCCTATCTTTTCAATAGATAACTTGATCGCCCGTATTTTCTCTTTTGATTAGAAGTAGTAAGCACAACCCTAGAACCAAGGAATATGTTAGAAGTAGTAAGCGCAACCCTGGAACCAAGGAATATGTTAGCACAACCCTACAAGTTCGTACCTATATATTTTAATTTACTCATTTATTGTTAGATTCAAGGACAAAGAGCACTCTTTGGACCTTTTTTTCCTTAGAATGAAATAGCAAGAGGCATTTTTTTAATCACAGATGCTATGCACATCTCAAGATGACTTGCATTAGTTGTTAATCATTATAATTGTGAAGATATATATGAAAAAAGTGTGATACCAAGTACAAAGATAAAGGGTGAAATCTGCTAGATGGCTACACTTAACGGGAAGCATAAAGTCATAGCTATTGTTGTGGTCCTTGTGGATACTCTCTCACACATGGCAGTGTCTTTAACTATTTTCTCCACGTCACTTTCGCAAGCATGTACATATATTAACTTCTCTTTTTTCTTTGTATTTTAAAATCTAGTGACTTGGAAATTTTTTACCTGAGTGCTCGTGATGTTTTCATTAGTCATTTTATAAAAAAGGAACTTTTTATAGTACATACATGAAAACTAAAAAAATTATGAAATGATTGAAGATAAAATTATGGTCATCAACATTAAAAATTTCATATAAAAACCCATCCTAATTCAAAGATGAACAATATTACAAACTACAAACATAAAGTCTTCTTGCAATATCAACGCCATGGTATCCATCTTTTCCTATGGGGTTGCAACTTCTAAATTGAAAGGTTATAACTTCCAAAGTGCAAGTCTGCCAAGCAAGCAGACTCGGATGAACCCTTCTGCATATACGAAAGAACATTTCGCAGCACTCGGTTTGAATTGTTCTCCTAAAAAAAAAAAACAGAACAATCTGCTGAAAACTTGCAACATTTATGCAATTAAGATAAGTAAGCACAAAAAATTATATATTCACCTAATCATATAAAACTCAATCTCAATAGTGAATACCGCCTATTAAAATTGTGATAGCAGTGCGGTAGTTTTATTGAATTGCCCCTTTACACTGCTTTAATTGGTTGAATTTGGGGCTTATTTGGATGGTGATTGATTAATTCCAGTGTGGTGATTTTATTTTTGGGGTCGAATTTGGTTTTAAGGAAATCAAATACCGAAAAAACCCATATGCCAAAACATAAACATAAAAATTGGGCAATAAGATAAAGAATGAAAACCGAAACCTTATTTGTACGGTCCTGCTGACTTACAAAGCTTGATGATGAATGAGTTCCTCACCCGTGTTTTTATGGAAGATTGAAAAATAGAGAAAAAAAAAAACAACACATGAAATCTTCTCTAAGTAGTAGATTGAGCCCTGAATTGAAAAAAAAAATGAAACAAAAAAATTAGAGGAAAACAGAGAATAGAATGTATAAGACTATAAGCTAACAAATTAGCATCACAAAAAAAATTAAACACCCAACTAAGCATAAACAATGGTAGGATTAGCCAATAAAATCCCACGCAGATATAACATATATATACTTACAACTTGTTAAGCCAACCTGTTGAAGAATGACTTGCATCTGGTCACCAAAAGGCAAGAAAAAAACGAAGTTAGGGATTTAACAATTCAATGAAAAGATCTACAATCCATGAAATTTTAATTTAAAATATATTCTGCTGCTCTTTGAAGAGGTCGATGAGTTGGAGGGGTGGTTATGGACGTCATTCCTCCTGATAGCATATAGTGACTTTCAAGGGAGATAGAGCCATCTGCAAAGCAACTTTCAAAAAACCTCAATCTAGCAATGTGAAAATTTAGAACCCAAAAAGGTTTTGTAAATTTCTCTATATATTTTAGAACTACAAGGGACGGCTCTATATAGAGACCGAAAAGGAAGGAGAGAAGACATACTCCTTTTGCACACTTACAATCGGAAATCAAGGAACAATTTACAAGAAAGATAGGGGCAAAGATACTAAGAGACATAAACCCTAGAATTAAGGGATATGGACCAAGGGTGACGGTAGTGGCAGTAGCCACTTTACCTGAAAACATGGGATAAAGTTGCAGCTATATGGACCAAGGGTGACGGTAGTGGCAGTAGCCACTTTACCTGAAAATATGGGATAAAGTTGCAGCTGCAACTTGACATCATAGAGCATGTTGTGTCTAGTTTCAATACTCCCCCTCAAGCTGGATCAAGTGGGTTAATTGATCCAAGCTTGCTCAGTAGCCTTTGAAGATGAGTAGAGTCCAAAGCCTTTGTGAACAAGTCTGCAAGCTGATCGTGACTACGAGTGTAAATGGTGTTGATAACTTTGGATTGAACTTGAGCACGAATGTAGTGACAATCCACTTCGATATGTTTGGTGCGCTCGTGAAACACTGGGTTAGAAGCAATATGCATGGCAGCTTGGTTATCACAAAACAAGGACATAGGTTCATTGTCGATATAGCCAAAATCTGCTAGAAGACGCTTTAACCAGATTAATTCACATGCCGTGGCTGCCATGACTCTATACTCCGCCTTTGCACTTGATCGTGGAATCACAGTCTGCTTTTAACTCTTCCATGTCACGAGATTTCCACCAACAAACGTGCAGAACCCGGTGGTAGACTTTCGATCGAGTGCATTACCTGCCCAGTCAGCATCTGTGTATGCCATAATGTGATTTGAGCCATGGTTCTTTAAGAGCAAGCCTCTGCCAATTGACCCCTTCAAGTATCTGAGTATTCTTTTGATAATCTCCCTGTGGAGTAGAGTAGGAGAGTGCATGAATTGACTGATAAGGCTTACGGAATAAGCAATGTTAGGCCGAGTAATTGTAAGGTAGATTAACTTCCCTACCATACGTTGATAGACACTAGGATTTGACAGAAGTTCACTAGAGTCATCAAGTTGGAGTTTGCTTACAATGGGAGTAAAAGTAGCTTTGCAATCCAACATGTGAGCTTCCTCCAATAAGTCAAGCACATATTTGCGTTGATTTAAAAACAAACCCTTGGCAGAGGTTGCCATCTCAATGCCAAGGAAGTACTTTAGGGTTCCCAAGTCCTTGATTGCAAACTGTTGATGAAGAGAGGATTTTAGAGTAGCAATCTCTTCTATGTTGTCCCCCGTTATAATGAGATCATCCACATATATAAGAACAATTAATTTTCCATTTAGACCACTGCGAACAAACAAGAAGGAATCGGCATGACTCCTCTTGAACCCCGCAACCTCCAGAACCGAGCTTAACTTCAAGTACCAGGCTCGGGGGGATTGTTTAAGTCTATATATGGCCTTGTGAAGCTTGCATATTTTGTTAACTTCACTTTCTTATGGGTGTCCAGGGGGAGCTTCATGTATACCTCATCTTTAAGGTCACCATGGAGAAATGCATTCTTCACATCCATTTGGAATAGAGGCCAGTTATGATTAACTGCCACAGACAACAGGACTCGAATCGTGCTCATTTTAGCTACAGGAGCAAATGTCTCCTTGTAGTCGATACCATAAGTTTGAGTGAATCCTCGGGCAACCAGTCGGGCCTTGTGTCGTTCAATACTGCCGTTGGAATGGAAGTTGATCTTATATATCCATCTATTTCGTACTGCTTTTTTCCTTTTTGGTAGATCAACTACACTCCATGTGTGATTGTCATTTAAGGCCTTGAGCTCTTCTTGCATGGCTACCTTCCATACTTGAATGTGAGCAGCTTCATGGAAGTTCCTTGGTTCAACATTCGAAGATATCTGATTTAGAAATGCAGCATGGGATTTTGACAGTTTGTGATATGTTAGGGCTTCTGAAATAGGATGTCTTGCATTGTAAGTAATGTATTCTTGAAACCTTGGAGGAGGATGTCTGTCCTGAGTTGGATTTCTTCGAGGAGCTACATATGGTTGTGAGGTGGGGGTTGTGCTTTGTTCACTTGTAAATGTTCCCTCACCCTCAAGTTGTTCCGACTCGGAGTGAGGTTCAAGAGAATCATTCTGAGAATGGGATTCAAGAAGATTTACTGGAGTAGGTAATGGAAAGATGTCCATAATATCCTTTCTCTGAGGCTCTTCACTGCAGTCTTTACAAAAAAAAGAAGCAAGCTCATCAAATCTTACATTTCTGGAGACTCTAACCTTACCATTCTGAGGATTAAAGTATTTGTATCCCTTTTGAGAGCTTGAGTATCCCATAAAAACACATTTGACAGCTCTAGGTTCGATCTTATCTCGATGTGCTGCTTGAATATGAACATAGCAAGTGCACCTAAAAGTTCTGAGATGTGAGATGTCAATGTTTCTTCCCTTCATTACTTCAACAGGAGACTTTGAGTTTAAAACTCGAGTAGGTAACCTATTGATGATGTACGCTGCAGTGAGAAGTGCTTGTGACCAAAACCTTTTAGGCACATTCATTTGAAACATAAGAGACCTTGTTTTCTCCAACAAATCACGGTTCTTTCTTTCCGCTATACCATTTTGCTGTGGAGTACCAACACAATTGGTTTGATGCAAAATTCCATGATCACTTAAGTAATTAGACATGTTATTGGATGTGTACTCAGTGCCATTGTCCGATTGCAATATGCTTAACTTAGATGAAAATAGATTTACGATGAGTTTATGAAAATCTTTAAAGGCATTAAAAAACTCACTTTTGGATTTCAAAAGGTAGACCCATGTAACCCGAGAGTAATCATCAATGAAGGTGACATAATATTTATACCCGTCAAAAGAGCTTACACGAGAGGGACCCCAGATATCTGAGTGAACGATTTCAAACAGTTTACAAGTTCTAGACTTGGAAGAAACAAAAGGAAGCCTAGTAGCTTTCGACATTTGACAGATTTCACAAGCATGTGTAGGTTTACAAAAATTGGGAAAAAGTTTGGTCATCACAGGTTCTGAGGGATGAACCAACCGAAGATGCCAAATGTGGTAATCTTGAGAGAGACTGAGGCTTGCAAGGGGGTGCTTAAGAGACTTGGAATTCTTTGAGAGGTAATAGAGTCCATTCAGGAGATACCCTTCACCAATCTTCTTCCGAGTGACCCGATCCTGAAATACAACACTGTGAGGAAAGAATATGGCAAGGCAATCTAGGGTGCGTGTGATTTTACTTATGGACAGGAGTTGGAAAGGGAAAGAATGTACATATAAAGCTGTTGACTCAATCTTATCACTTAACAGTTTAAGTTTCCCTTTTCCCAGAATAGGTTCTCCGTTCCCATTTGCAACAGACACCTGTGTAGACTTAGGCATCTTTTGAAACTTATCCAAGCAAGAAGACTGATTTGTTATGTGGTTAGTAGCACCTGAGTCTATAATCCAACAATCATGACTAATTTCATTAAGTGCAGTTTTGAAAGTAGTGATGATACATGAGACATTGTCATGAGTTGAGGTCTCAGCCAAAAAACCTGCAAATTTTTCGAGCATAGCAGTAGGAGTTGAAGTGGTCACTTCCTTAATTTGAGTGTTGCCTCCTCGTCTTTGAAGAAAGTTTGCAAATTCATTTATCAGATCTATTGGATTCTAAGTGAAATTTGAGATTCCACCCGTCGAAGAACTGGATGAGTGGAGGGCCTTAGGGTTGATTTCTTTCCCTTCTTTGATCATTCTTCCTTCCTTATCAAATCTTGGTTTTAACTCTGGGTGCAAGATCCAGCATTTGTCCCTTAGGTGACCTTTCATGTTGAAGTGAGTGCATTTCCAGTCTGCTTTCTTACTGGCAAAAAATTTTTCACCAGTGTTTTTATGATAGCTCGAGAAAACCCTAGCCTCAGGATTTGATTTCGGCTCAATGTGCATAACTTTTCTTCGAGTTTCTTCCCTTTGAATAGCTTGACAGACACCATTAAATGAGGGCAGCTTAGGAGTCATCAATAAGTGGCTTGAAGGTCTTCATATTCAACTCCTAGACTTGCTAGAAGTTGAAATACTTTATCCTCATTAGCTCTTTTAAAGAGCACAACGAAATCGGTTGAGTGTGGACGATACATGTCAAGTTCATTCCACTTGGACTTGATGCTTCCTAGATGTTAGACGAAGGATTGATCACCTTGCCTTAGCCCATCAACATCCTTTTTTAGCTGAAAAATACGAGTTGCATTATTTTGACTGCCATACATTCCTTTAATGGATTCCCAGAGAGTGAAAGAGGACTCTGAGTAACTGAAGAGTTCAGATAACTTTGGTTTCATGGAGTTGAGTATCCAGGACATAACCAACTGGTCGTTTGCATGCCATGCACCATATGACGTGGATGATCTTTCAGGCGGTCCGATGCTTCCATTGATATACTCGAGCTTCGATCTTCCTCCTAAGGCAAGTGAAATGGCACGAGACCAAGGTAGATAGTTGAACTCGTTTAATAACACTGAGCATAGACGCAAATTTGGATTGATTTCACCTTGAATGATGCTGGGAGATAAGGAGTTTGAGGAGCTTGTAGCCTCACGATTTGAGGAACTTTCTTCTGTCATTGTAGTGAATGAGGCACGACCGAAACAAGGTTTTTGAATGAATGAACAAACAGAGACATGACCCTATGGTTCCTGCTCTGATACCATGTGAAAATTTAGAACCCAAAAAGATTTTGTATATTTCTCTATATATTTTAGAACTACAAGAAAGGGCTCTATATAGAGACCGAAAAAGAAGGAGAGAAGTCATACTCCTTTTGCACACTTACAATCAGAAATCAAGGAACAATTTACAAGAAAGATAAAGGGCAAAGATACTAAGAGACATAAACCCTAGAATTAAGGGATATGGACCAAGGGTGATGGTAGTGGCAGTAGCCACTTTACCTAAAAACATGGGATAAAGTTGCAGCTATATGGACCAAGGGTAACGGTAGTGGCAGTAGCCACTTTACCTGAAAATATAGGATAAAGTTGCAGCTGCAACTTGACATCATAGAGCATGTTGTGTCTAGTTTCAATAAGCAATAATCAAATCACTGCAAGGAAAAAACAAAATAAAAAATCCAACTTTAACATTCTTTTTGCCTAAAGCAACAATCTTGCCGATAGAATGAAACGAAAGCAGAGAGAAACATGGAGAAGGAAAAATGAATTTGATAAATGGTAGACAAACATGGGGTGGAGAAAGAATATGCAGAGAAATGGAGAATTCGAGATTGAAAGTTACATGCGATAAGAATCATTTGATGTTGAGGAAGAATTTCGAACTTTTGTCACTGATTTGGTCGACCAATTCTTCTCCCGAATCTGGTATGTTGGTTGTTCTTCCTCCGGAGAAGCACCAAGTTTTCATTGAAAAGTAAATAATCAAAAACATAAAGGAAACTGAATTTGGTGAATAGTAG